ACATAGCTTGGTGGACCCGACATGCGAACTAACAATAATGGACTAGTCTGTGTAACTGTATACAACGACATGTGGCGCATATATGTTTATTCCTGCTTGAAATGAGTACTTGACAACCTTTACGTCATTTGACATGTCCGTGTGTCATTCTGACACAAGGCTTTATGTTGATGCAGCCACTGGAGCAGTATATGCAACACCTGTCGTCACAGTAGAGAACCGTGTGTAATACAGCAGTCTAAATTCTGATTACGTAACATGTCGTATATGACTGTCAATAAATACATGGAATTTGACCTATTATTTCAGAGTGAGTGTTGAGTTCAGTTTTACTCCGCAATATTCCAGCTATATGGTGGAGTCTTGTCCAGGCAATCCAGTGATCAACAGCATGATTGGGAACCGATGACATGTGTCAACCAAGTCAGCGAGCCTGACCACTGGATCCCGTTAGCCGCCTCTTACGACAAGCATGGGTTACTGAATATCAATATTCTAACCCGAACCTTCACGGGTCTATTCTTTCCGAAACAGATGCAATTCCGACGTCTTGTATCATATAATCTGTGTTTTGGTCGATGGACGCTCGCTATTTGCATGTGTTTGTAACGATTGTCATGAAAGACAGACTTCTTTCACGAAGACATGGTATCATTACTATTTGAAGAGATTCATAAAACACGCTCACGGTGAATTCGGAATTGCAGGACTGGTTATGCCCTTAATAAACATTTCTTCAAGTCGTTGAAATGATTTTGACGCTCTTATTCAAACTTTGTCACATTTTGTTGAAAAAGCATATCAGGAGAAGCTGTTTGCCTATTATTATTTTTTCTTCGTGTATTTCTCGGTATCCGGAAAGCAGCCTCCAGATCCTCAATTTTCTGAAGACGTTTTAAAATAGTGACAGATATGAAATGAAAATGACAGAACGAAATGACAGAAATAGTGCCATCCACGTCTTGTACAATCAAGAATCACTATTCTTCTTCCGAGCTATACTCAGCATCGAAAATTTCAGCCATGTAAGAAAGCGGACTATTTGTTACTTATATTCCGAGTCTTGATGAACCGCTTGGAAACGAAAAGAGCGTCTTGTAAGTGGGGCACGTAACGCCCTTCAATCAAAGTCCGTTAGTGCTCTCACCAAGCAGAGCGTACACAAACGCCTGGCCACTTCTTTAATCACCATCTTCTTTTCTATGTAGCTGTTTTAACGTCTACATTAGAGACGATCAGCCTTTTATTGCCGTGCGGCAATGTAATAACCACTGTGAAGATGTCAATCTTTCCCCGTAATTTGCCAGCCACGGGTCTCGCTGCTCTTTCAACACCAAGCTTGTAAAACAAATGCAAATCAACCAGGGCTCGCCAGAACTCAAAGTGTTCATTAGGGCACATTTGTGGTGATTTTGCCACTAGTCCGAGGGCAATCACAACGTATGTTCCGAGTCTTTAGTGGGACGTTTGGATCACACGAAGTGGACGTGGTACCATTATATCCATCTGGTTGTGTTTGGAATAATCCTACGATAATGCCTGTTTGTTCTCCTTCTTGTGTTTGCCTCTCGGAACTCTTAGATGAAGGTGAGTGATGTTCCACGAGTGAGAGATTGAGTATGGTTGAGTATGGATACCAGAAATGATCTTCACACATTGTGCCCATGTTGGGAATCGAACCCGGGTATTTGTCGTGGATAGCGAACACCTTAACCACCAGGATACCCCACCGCCACTTTTACGAATGACATAATGGACATAGACGAAAGCGCACTTACACACTGTCTCCAAGACCATTTGTTACAGACTTCAAGACAAGACTGATATCCATAAGAGAACTCTGCTACAGAAGGATCCGTTGTAAGGTTCAGGCTTTTTTTTCATCAATGTCTATCAACCAGCAACATACCTAATGCAAACGGGTGAGCGTATCCTACCCCTGTGAAATCGTAAGTAATTGTTCACTTGAGGTGAGGTGAGGAGTCGTGCTTGAGAATATTTCGCTCATATGACGACGTGCATGCGTGTGTATCTGTATGTGCGGCTACTTGTACTAGCCCAGACTTAAGCTGGTTTTATAGTGCTAGCCCACTGAGATACCATGCCGCAGTGAAGCATGAATACCCCACTCAGACACATTAGACTCCGAGCCGACCGGTCCTTGTTGTACCCATTAATGCCGAGCGCCAGGCAGGGACCAACAAGTACCATATTTTAACGTCTTTTGGTATGACGCGGTCGGGGATCGAACCCGCGACCTTCCGCTCTCCGGGCGGACGCTCTAACCACTACACCACGGAGGCGATTAATTGTTCACTTGAACAACCACAGGGCAACATTGTTCAAATGAAAATGAGGAACGCAAAATATCTACTACAATATAACTGTATGTGCCCCACCTGTTGTCACCTGAGTACTCACCATGTGTGTTTGGTGTAAATGTGATTAAACTGCACTTATTGTGCCCAGGTTGATCAATGTAAGCTGTTATGTATATCGACATAGACAACGTTCAAACAATGAGAGCGCTTTTTCAGATTAGCGATCTGCGGAAACATGAGCTATTTTACTCCCATGACTGCCTATGCCATCAATAATGTATTTTACAACGAAATGATTTGCACACGTTTAAACAGGTCTTGTGTCAGAATTTTGCAAAGCTTCATGAACCTGGTGTCCTGGTTCACCAGGGGTATTGGTTGTCATTATTGAGTGTATTTACTGTTTTACTGAGCTGTTGTAGTTGCAGTCATTGTAATATGTATCTAGGGGCGGTGGGGTAGCCTAGTGGTTAAAGCGTTGGCTCGTCACGCCGAAGACCCGGGTTCGATTCCCCACATGGGCACAATGTGTTAAGCCCATTTTCTGGTGTGCCCCGCCGTGATATTGCTGGAATATTGCTAAAAGCGGCGTAAAACTAAACTCAGTCAGTAATATGTATCTTAATTGTACAGTTGTACACATCCTCTCACACATGTACATATATACACACACACTCACACAAACACTTGTACCCACGCATGCACACACACTTACACACACATCAGCAGCTTCTGTGCATCTCTGCTGGATCTTTTATTAGTGAGTTAGTGAGTGTGGTTGTACGCCGATTTTAGCAATATTCCAGCGATAACAGTGGAGCACCTGTTTGGCTTCACACATTGTACACATGCAGAGAATCGAACCCGGGTCTTCATCGAGACGAGCAAACGCTTCCATCACTAGACCGCCCCCGAATCTTTAATTAAGCTTGTTGTACCACACATAATGGCCCCAATTCTTCAGAAGGGATCAATCCTCTCTGCTTGAACTCTGATTTGTTACACGATCACTCCATCAAGCACACTTTCTGCTTGAGCCACTTAATCCTGAAACCAACAAAAGGTATGTTTTAGTCTTGGATGCACGTTTGCCCTTTTCTTTCATTATCACGGAACATTATTCTTTGTCTCTTCTCCAACTGATGTCTTGCAGTTTACCATGAAAGGGCTATTGTTTATCATGCAGCTTGCCATTTCCCATGGTAAGATGTTTTGTGTACGCTCACAATGAAAGAAACACACTGGTCGACTTAGATGGCGGTAAAGTGCTTGTAGAAAGAATATGGAAATGAGCATTACGTGATCCAAAAACAATATTAATTGTTCCAAATATCGATCATAGATTCCCCGAAGAAAAGAATCATTTGACGAGTAACAAATATCAGATTAAACTAGCTGCAGAAATGTGCATTGGTGGGTGTAGTTTCATTTAAAATAACTTCATCACATGCAACGTAAGTCCTATCCCAGAAGGATCAGTGTGATACCGGTACGTTCCATTAGCTGATGAGGCAGATGATACCGGATGCATGTAGTTGCTGTAATCTCTCCGCTGAAGCAGGAAACGTGATTGGGTTTCTTGACAGAAAGAGTTAATTCATTGTATAACCATAGCCGGAGGATTAAACCATTTCATACTTGCATGAACGTTGTAATGGACTTCGTGAAAAAAATATGTTTCTCGGGTCCAGATATGCAAATCTGTCATAATTTTCATTTAAATCACGTTTACTTAAATTCGTTCAACTTGATGTAGAATATGGTACCATGGCGGAATGTATAAGAGGAACTCCGTTTGTTTCGAACTACGAGTAGTTCGACACGTTTGAATTGTTACATAGCTCCGAATTGAGGAATATGCTCGTATATGATCATCAGTTCTTAGTTGCGGGTATAGTAACGTGCAGTATCGTTGGACAAAATATTGTGCTTATGTGTCCCAGTTCACCCATTTGCAAATGGGTACCTTGTGAGGATGAGGCTGTGTGATATAAATATCCTATCCTATAATAATTAGTCTCACAGTCCCCGAACCACATATTTCCCCTACTACATCATTTGCCCTCCCTGCAATGCAAAAGCCCTCAATGATGCAAGTCTAGATTTCACAAGGTTCAGAATTTCTTGGCTCTCTGGGTCTCCATTTCAATTTAAATGGATTTGTTTGTTACTGTCAAAATTATATATATTTAGAGACTAAGCTTTAGTCTAATCAGTTCTCTGTGAACTGTGATTTAAATACATCGACGAGTTCATTTCGAACACATGGATGTTTATGACGAATGACAAGCTTGTATGTGAACAATACTGTTCTGGATTACCTTGTTTCTATTATCTCAAGCTGACAATATGGATATAGATGTTTGCGTGTTCGTTCAGGGCTCTCCCTTCACGCCACGTTAAGCAATAGAGACGGGAAGGAGATGTATCCCCTCAACATAATTTCATTGAAATTTAACAACTGAATAAAAACGGCCAAAAATGCAAAACATGTTTCAAAGTTTATTTTAGGAAATGTACATCTCATAACGTTTTACAAATTTCAATACAGATTTGCTTTGGGGTTAAAACGTCACTCCGAAGACGTATGTTCCACTCCGAACATGGTAGAGTTTGTGAATCCATTTCTGTGACGCGGCGAAAAACAATATTCTCTAAATTTATGTCTATCGTTTCCAGATCATCAGATCCTGATACCCCGGGAGACCCCGCAAGAGGATACTATTTACCTCACGGGTGATTATCAGTCAGAGAACGGATACCATTTGTACCGAGAAGAGGCATCTCTTGCGGAGGAGTCGCTGGTGGACAGTTGTGTGGACTTCGAGGACGATGACCAGTGCGCGGCCCCATCCCTCAGTGACCTGTACCGCTACCACGTGTTCTTCTCACACTGCCCAGCGGACGTGGAATGGGTGAAGGACACCGTACACAAACTCCAAACACCCCCCTATACGTACAAGACGTACTATCTGTGTGAGAAGTTCAACAGGCGGTTGAGCATCAGTCAGAATCTGTTGTGTGCTGTTATGTTGAGTGAACGGGTTGTGCTGGTGCTGTCGAAAAAATACGTGGAAGAAACATGGCCGGAATTTCAAGAAATTCTGAAAAATCTCACTGCTACCAGTTTGCACAAACAGCGTATGTTGATTGTTAAATTAGAAGACTGTGAAATTCCCGAAATTTTGGATGTGTGTGGTTCTCTTGATGCAACGGATCCTGGATTTTTTCAGTTGTTTACAAGGCGGTTAAAAAGTGGTAAGTATCAAATATGTCATAATATATCACTAATAGTAATAACAAAAAACCGTGTATATACATACATACATACATACATACATACATACATACATACATACATACACACACAAATGCATACATACATGCATACATACATACATACATACATACATACATACATACATACATACATACATACATACATACATACATACATACATACATACATACATACACACACAAATGCATACATACATGCATACATACATACATACATACATACATACATACATACATACATACATACACACCTACCAACACACACACACATGCATACATACATACATACAGTTTTTATATTTTGGCATTTATTAATCTGTAGTTATGATCCATACCCAATGCTTATTTGATATCTGAATAAACATATTGTATATTAAATGTTCGCCTAAGTCATGATTTGCAAATCTCTATGCCAATCAATAAGATGTATGATATGTGGTTATTGCAAGTTCAATATCTATGCGGTAAAGGAAGCTATCGAACGATACCCTCAGACTGGGTGACTTGAAGTAACACGTGACCTCATTTACTTGATTTTCTACCCTCCTGCATGCAACTAGGGGTCGTAAGTTCCAGACAAGACTTGGTTTAACAAATGGTTTAATTATCACGCCTCTGTAAGCCTCTTTCTGGGATAAACAGCGCTTGAAATGACAGCTTGATGAGTACATTTAGCTGCTGAGAGATCCAAATTGCTACACCTAGCAGTTATTTAACATTGTCGTCCACACATTCTAATCCCGTTGTCAAATGGAGCGTTCTTCGTGTCAAGCGAGATACCATTATTTAGGTAATTCTTGATAGTTAACCGAGTGAACCATGCACAATCTATTCTTATCAGCAACGACCAAAGTTGAAAATTTAATAAAAGTTATTTGATCGTATGATAGGTGTGTGGTTTATGACGTTGCCACACATATCTACGTCTCCCCAATACAAATATAGCGACAGGAAATCGATCGATGTTTCCGTTCCATTTACCCCAATCACAGTTGTTTCCCAAGTTTGCGCATTGACCAATTGACCTGTCAAAGATCCAGGGCTGATCAGACACATTTATGAGACGAGGAGCCAAAGTTCCGAACATTTCCTGAAGAACGTGAATTCGTCCTCATCTATTCCGCTGGTGTCTGGTTCACAACGGAATATGATCGCTTCTTTATTGCCGTTGCGACTTTGCGTTTTAACGGTCATGGGTTTAACGCATTATCGACAGAAATGATGAACAGATAATGAGATGAAGAAGCATATGTTACCGCAACGTGAAGATCATTTGGCATTTTGTTGGTATCCGGGCGCAATAACAGGGAAGCCATCATATGCACATACCATTTACTAATGGATGACATTAACCCTATCCATAGCAATATCGAGAAGTTTTGCTCATCAAATTGTATCGCTCGCTTTACTTTGCCCTGAAAGGATTCGGGGTGCGATGATCTTCTGGTAAACCCGTACTTTTATGCGTAAAGACTGACAGCAGGATCGGGTAATTCCAGGGCTGCTGAAACCCAGTTGGTTGTAATGGGACTTCCCAATTAACCAGATGGGTAACCATTCGCTGTTGAATCTTTGAATTATGCGATCCAGGCTTCAATTCTGAATACATAACCGCAACCGGAATAAACCGCGTGAAAGCCAAGCCTCGCTGTACCTTCCTCTGCTCTTCCCTTCCCTTGCCTCTCAAAAATTTCATCCATATCACGGCTTTGCTGTCATCGTTATTCCCATCAACTAAAATGAATTATATTCTCGATTGTTCGCACGTTGCGGGTAAATATGCTGGGAATCAGATTCAATATGCGGTGGCGAGAATCCGGATACCGCGATCTTCGGTGCATTTACCGCCAAATCGATTAATTCCAGTGAACCAGAGATAATCTTTCGCTTCGCCTATAACGCCATGTTTAACTGCAGACGGCCGTCGGACGGGATGAGTTGCTGGTGAAAATCATTAACTCTTCGAATTGCGCCGGAAATGACAACGGCCCAGCCAGACAAAGCGGAGCCGATTCTATAACCGGTCCGCCGTCGAGTAACTCCCGCCTGGTGCGGGCATCCATCACAAAGGGTCAGGCGGACCTGAACCAGACGGAACAGCAATTGGTTGAGTTTTGATGCTTGGGCCTGTTACGGACATCATCAATGGTTCACCCGCTTAATAGCGTTGGCGACTCCCTTCAGCCGCCAAAATCGCCACTCCGCCAGACTCACCGGACACGTACCGAAACCTCGATGAAGGACTCCAGTTCGGCGGCATTGCTTCTTGGGCATCGCAGGCGCCGATGCGATAACTCAGTTCTTCAAAGATGCCGGTTCGGTGCCGTTCAGTTAATGATGGACTGGTTTTACCGTTCACGCCAGATTGAGGCGACCACGGTTTCTTTCAAACGATTCGCAGCTCTGTTCGGTTTGGGAAGCTTTCCACATCTCTTGATTTAGATATCGAGCTTACGTTCGCCCAAAATTTGCGCTTGACCCTCCGGGCCGCGCAGAAGCGAGACGGCGATATCCCGGTGGTGTCTCTCAATGGGTTTACACTTTCCGAAAAGTTATGCCATGATGGCATCGATGATTCCGGGTGAAGTTTTCTCTTTCGTTTAGTTCTTTGCCAAATACGATTGCGTCGGTTGCTGCTGAGCCAAACTCGCCCAATCAGTTATCGGCGTGCGCTGTTGTACCGTTTAAAGGCGTCATACAGCGGTGGAATCATCAGCGGCAGATATACCGTCATAACCTGAACGATGAGGGGGCTTAGCTTCATTTCAAAAGTTAATTCACAGCAGATGATCAGTTGGATATATCGCCATATTCGTATCGCTCTTCCGCCAGAATTCCACGGTCGCCAGCGGGCTGGACCCTCGAAAGAATCAACGGCACGCACGACGTTAATGCGTCGCCTTCGAAGACGAGTTCGCACGGGCTTCGGCGCTCTGAATCGCACCGGCGAACGAAATCGATCTTCGACGTAACCCGTATACTTTGGCAAGAGGTTGGGTGGAATTCGTCGCATTTCCGATGCGTATGGATCAGCCACGTTAATCGTTATGCTATACTTCGGTTGTCTGGGTGCCGAACTCGACTGCGATATTCCATCGCGGAAACCGATTGACCCGCGGCTGACCAGAAACCAACAACAAAACAAACAATCGTGTATTAACCACGATAATACGCCTGCTGCCGCTGAAACCAAATCGCATCGTAATACCACGGTTTATCGAAATTCAATCTCTAACCGATTCGGATGAACTTTATTCTCTGGAATATTCGCCCAATACGACGTTTAAAACCGGCAAAAGAAGGCACGATTCAATTTGTTTCGATCTTCAGATAATAATACCGTGCAGGTCAGGTTTTGTTTTGCCCTCAATCGGCGTTGCTGGCGGTTGCCGCCGCCGCTGACAGATTCACCACGAGAAAGGTCAGCACGATAATGCGAAATGCATTTTAACTGGATTCATTATGGCCCTCGGGCACTAATGATAACCATCCGCAGGCTCTCCGAATATACCAGACGACCTTTTGAACATTGAAACCAGACTTTCGGCACTATTCTGCTGTATCCCGGAATGTATTGGTGATAGAGCTGGGTGTTGCCCATTTTTCTCTATTTCTTCGCCTACGGTTTTATCGTTTGGGGAACTGTTTTCCTCCGTCATCATCAACAAACCTTTCGGTCGCATCGCCGATTCATAAATCATTTTCCTCCTGCGGCGCTTACCGGAAACCTTCAGAAGAGCTCGCTGGAAATGACGAACTTCCAGATCCGGAATTTCCTACCCGGAATCGAATCGCTTTGGGCTCGCGCACCGGTTAGTATTTTAAATTCTGTATATGGGCACCAGAAGGCTATGGACATTCCTCTACCACGGAATCTGGTTCGAAATAGCCGGCGCCGGACATCAGGAATGCTGGTTCGGCATCGTCGTTTTAGAGCTGAACATAAAAATTATTATTTTCGCCAGCGATTCGGCGGAATCGGGAATTCCGCTGGCGGCGTATCTATCGATTTAATTTCGATTGGAAGCGAAGAAAGCAGAGCTGGTGATGAGACGGCTTCCCCTAAGGTTGAAGTTAATCTGAAAAAGATCGCACTAACGATAATTTATTCCCCAGATCTTCGCCGGATAAAAGTTTCATTGGCAGCGTGGGGACAAAAGTCATAAAACGAAGGACGGAAGAACTTCGAGCTGGGACGCCAGTTGGTTGCTTTCCCCATTCAACAGCTTCATTTCCATCCACCCTCCGGGTATTAATGCCGGATGTAATGCGTTTCAAAAGACTTCCGAAATAACGTCAGTCGAGGTCAGACCCCGTTCCTGGCGCGAGAGAAGCTCGATAATTATCGGCGAAGGACGGAACTTTTTATAAATATCGCTCCAACATTTGGAAGCCTTTACTAAATGTTGCCGCTTAAGTAAAACAATGACTTTGCGCCTTCGCGGAACTGCGTTTCGCGCGCTTTTCTCGCGACACAATGGTACGCATCGTATTGAACGATATGATTCATAACCTGAATTTCGGCGTTTCAGATGGAATCAAACGAATAATTAAATTAGGTTTCGTTTGCCGCCGCGCGGCAATATTAACGTTGATACTAGAGAGGAAAATTGAAGATAGAACGGTGCCATAATGAGATTGGGGCCGCCGAAATGACGAACTGGCGTTTAACCATTGAAGCTACCCTACTTCGGAAGCTATTGTTTCAGCATATGTATTCGTTTCGACCAATATGGAGAAAATGGTTTTATGCGTTTATTACCTGTTTGAAACGATAACAATTCCGTGTCGGTGGTTCGGAGCTAACGGAATATCGATTCAATTGCAAACCCAATGACTTATCTTCCCCACCAGCCGGTACTCAATTTGGCCAAAATTGTTAAATGGGGCGATTAAATAAATTCATCGCTACGCCCCATAAACCATTTTCCCCAAATCGATACAATCGCCAACTAAGA